AAAAAACGGAAAGAACTTTTGCACCGGACTAATATTATGATTGGTTCTTAAAATATGATATTCTCAAAGAGCTTTATAAAAGTCAGAGGGTCTTGAATCAGTCTTGAATCTGCGAAGTCAGAGGGTCTTGAATCACAAAAATGCTTATGCTAGATACTGGGTATACAAACGCCATCGGAATCAAAATAGAGCAAAACACTGTGACTTATATGATATACGGCTGAAGGGACTAAAATAGCATATTGGCAGAGTGCTGCTGTGCGAAACGCTAAGATCGAGCTATTGACAGTGACGAGTAATTAAATTATTTAAAAAAAGAGGCGAGAGGACACAGCCTTACCACAACGCTAGCTCATGCTAGACCACTACATTCCTACATTTTCTGCCGCTCAACCATTATAGTCTTGATCATTACATACTTGGTCACTCAAATTCTGTTCTGTTGTCAGTAGTGAACAAAAAGGCTCAGCATCATTCGCGATTATCCTGACGCATACACATGATCACTACCTTGAGGAAAGGTGAGTTACACTGATTATGTGATACAGTCAGTGTTCCTTAAATGATCAGGGACACAGGACATTATGATGACAGTTGCAAGGATTTGATTCTATTATCCATAATTCACTATAGCTTCTCATTCCACATCTCCGAGTTTTGGAGCAAAGATGAGTCTACACGTTGATGAACACATCAGCCTCATGGCATGCTGTAATCGAGATTATGATTCAACTCAAAGGGCGCAATCCATCTCAATAAAGCTCAAGAAAATTGTAACATTTCATTTCAAAATTTATTCATAAAAGATCTGGCAAGAAGGGCTTAGCTCCCGTCTTATTTCTACAATGCTAAGTGAAGAAGTTGAAACAAGAAACGATTAGAAAGAATCTCCTTAATTCAGATTTGCACGAATTCTATGTACGGATCCATCTACAATTGCCTAAAAGGAAATCGATCTTAAATAAATAGACCGCTAGCATTCGCGTACCGTTTTCAGCGCCGAGCTTAATGTTGGACTTTGAGGCAGTAGTTCTTTGTTGACTGAAAGCAAAAGTTTGTAAGTAGTGAGAACAATTTGCCTTTATGCCAGAAGTAAAACGTACTAACAATCTTCTTTGCTCTTCTCACTCGTTTACTATTCTCAAAAGATGGTGATTTGGTAATCTTGTTTCTTCCTTTTTTGATATGTGATCTCATCGGATCTGGCGTTTTAGAGTATTTGTTGGCATTCTTGAGTACATTAGGGACTCTAGTTATTGTGGAGGCAGAAGATATGGAAATTTTTGGTTTGGTAGTGCTACTGGCTGTCACTTGTACTGGGTTGGCTATGGGTAGATTCGTATTAGATGCAACCACTGGCACCGGCATTGGTGATTCTTTGGCATTTACCCGTAATGAAAGAGCCGTTGAACCTGCAGGTGTTGTCATCATGGACACCCCTTGCGGAGCGGATAGCGGCGTCATTGCTGTGACCAAGGGTAGTACTCTAGCTGGTTGTTCGTCATCTGCGTTTACTGAAAGAAGTGATGAAATTACTGGCTTAGTTTGTAGCTCGATTGCTTCTGGAGTAGATATAGAGGGCAAGGGTTGTTCGGTTCCGTCCTTTGTAGCTAAAAAGGCCAAAGAAGCAACAAGTGGCAAGAACATCCTATTCTCTCCGTGACTGGCAGGCATCGCAATGATTCCTGAAACCACGGGTATTGTCATTATCTTACATTCTTGTCCACCCAACGATGGCGTTAGGGCTGTAATCACTGGCGTAGTGGTCTGATTAGGTCCGTCAAAACCAGAACCTGGAAGAGAAGTTACGGAGGCGATCACTGGCGTCATACGTACAGCCGGATTTTCGGCTGAATTCGCAGAAGTTGTAACACTAGTAGTGCTATGCTCCGCTTCTGCGGTATCCAAAGATGTGCTCGATAGTCCTGGCACACTATATGACGGGATCTCTGATTTAGTGGGTGTCCACGAAGTTGAAAGTGTGGGTCTTGTGACGCTGAGAGGGGCACGATTAGTAGATCCTGATGCGCTTATTGAGGTCGGTGTTGCTCCTTTGCTTTTTTGAAAATTCCTGATGAGCTGCGCATCTTCGAAAGACTTGCATATGGACTTGTCTTAATTACAACTATGACATTTCAATCGAGTGGTCAGTAAACAAATTACCGGATGGAGTATATGGGCTAATAACGGTTGGCGGGCGATCTTCGCTTAGATTCTGGTCAATTTTTGTCCTGAAGCTCTCGAAAAGATCATCTATAAGAAAATGAATAACTGTATGGCTTTGATCGCAAAGTTATATACGTACCCTTGCGCAGGCTTGCTTCCGTTGGCGTATTACTCATCTCTGACTCGTGAAAGTCGGATAATGGCAATGTAGAAATTTTTGCACTAAGAATCTCTGTGGAGCTAAGCGCAGTTGGATCGGTTGTGCGCTTGCTAACCTCCGTAGGCCAAGGATCAAGTCTAAAAGACTGGTTTTCGATGAAGCAAACAATTGTATATAGCGTAGACTTGCTTGATATGGGAACAGTATTTGCGTCGCCTTCGCTGGCCTAACAAGCTTCTAAGAGGTGCTTCCAAAGGTGGAATGCCTTGAAAAACAGTATTGAGAGAATTTGTAAAAACTGTCTGAAGACATTATATATATTATACGGGGGTGCCTAACAATTCCCTTGTCATTGAATCTTTCGGGAAGGTTTAGGGTTTTCGGACGTGCTGAATTCACTACACAACTTTTTACCGACCCAAAGTCGGGAAGCAAAGTGGTAAGCATTTGAAGTTGGCGTGATTACGTAACTTAACTGGTAGGCACGTTTTTGATACGAACAAAAAACGTATCAAAGTAATGAAAGTTTCTATGAACCAGAAGTCAAAAGAGCTTATCGACAATCTCAGTATTTCAGTAATTTTTTCCTTTTGTCAGAAACATGTCAGACTGATTAAGAGTTTGGGATGGTTTCACACCTTTGAAACAAAATAAACAGACTTCGAAATCAATAGGGTCCATCGCCGGAGATGACTGGGGGATTAATTATAAAGCTGAAAGAATGCCTTCTAGCGCTTTCGTTATTTCCGTAGCAACTGGTGATAAAAATCTGAAGATGGATAGAGGGCGCGGAAAGAGATTAGAATCTATGCATGTGAAATCTTTGTCGAATTGATTTTTTCTTAGGTATGCCATGCTTTCGGCCCTAAGATCCCCACAGACCTTACTCTTTGCCCACAACTGTCTATTGAAGCTTATCATGATAACAATCATATGCAAACCTAAAAACATTGCATTTGTCCTTGGCTGCATGTCGGTTGAGGTTAACCTTGCATTATATTCGGAAAGTGTGTACCTTGGCACCTTCAAGTCGAATAATTTTTTGCTGTGACACACGCGATCTGCACTAACCTCTTTCACAAGGGATTTGTGTATTCCTTGCATTTGACTTGTTATGGTATCGATCAGTGATGATGCCGCACCAGAACGCGTTACGAAAGGCATTATATGTAACAGACTTTGTTCGAGCAAGTGGAATGCCGTACTTGCCTGAATTTGCAAAATTCTATTGACAATGTGTGGCACAAACTTGCCTGAGCAGCGATAGTGTAATCGGACGTTTCGATGTGAGGTTGTTCTGGCAGCATTCGTTTGTAATCCAAAGCGGTAAGCTAAAATTAATTCATGATTTGATGTTTAAAGGGTCATAGGCTACCTTAGCCAGCATTCTTCTTGCGTTGCGCATGTTTTCCTTTAACAGAGTAGTTGTTTCATTATTTGCTTTCGAACGTTTCTCCAAAAAATCAAGCGTTTCATAAAGCAGTTCCAGATCACACAGCTTATCAATGATCTTAATAGCGTATATCATTCAGAGGAAATTTTAGCCATTCCTCGTGGATGACAGAAAGGAAGATCGTCAGGTGGGGTGAGGCATCGACAGGACTGGAAAGGAAAGGAAGGTTGGTCGAAGTGGCCTTTTGAAATGAG